TCTACTTTTATTTTCTTCTTTCATTATGTATTTATTCTTTGAATTTTGTTCATTTTTTTTTATTTGTTATTTGAGTTAGTTCAAATAAAATTGTATGAAACGACATTTTGTGTATAATGTTTATTATTGATATTTAATGGTAGTTTGTATTTATTAAAAGAAATCAAAACATAATTAAAGTATAATTATAAATATATTCGAATATTAATATGTTAGTATGAAGTACTAAAATAAAAGTAATACTATACATTTTTATTATGTTCAATCAAAGAATTTAATTGAAAATGATTGAATTGATTATTTTATTTTGGTCTTTTTTATTCTTCTTGATAAACACAAATTAATAATAGAATATAAGAATAATTAATAAAAGAGTAAGAAAGATGAAATAGAAACAAAAGAATAAGTATTTGTTCAATGGTTTATGATAATTTTAGAATATACCAAACTAATTTTGAAAGATTTTTGGTAGTAGGCATTTCATATTTTTGTTTACCAAATTTAAAATATTAAAAGACTGAAATAATCCCAAGAAACACAATTTTGTTATAAATAAAATTTGATAAGAAAGGAAAGAAGATATTTAAAGAAAAAAATAAACTTATTTTCATTCAACATTTCTACTTACATATATGAATACATTAAGTATAAAGTAAGAAATGAAAGACTTAATTAAGAAAGAAGAAGCTAGTAATTAAAAGAAGTGAAAGTAAGAAGAAGCACAAAACATGGAATATAAAATAGAAAGAAAAGAATTAACCATGACATTCTCAACAGACTCTATCAAACAGATAGACGAGGGGAATAATGAGTTATAAAAAGAAGTCAAATTCTTTTAATCAGCAAGTTATTCTTTCTATTGTGAATGGTTAGTAATGAAGGACATCGCTTGAGATGACCATTGCCGAGAGTAGAATCTGAATACAAAACCAACACCAAATAAATCCGTCATTCAAATGATTAATGTGGTGATCAAATGAATGAACATTTTAAATGTAGTTGGAAGTTGTTTTTTGTATTTACTACTTAAGGATTCATTATGATGCATTCATGATACACCACAGAGAAATGTCATGATCAACTATCCAATTAAATTATTGCCCCCAAGTTCTTGGTCTGAGTGTATGGATTTCACCCAATTGGATCATGTTACATTGAAAAGGTATATAATTTAAAATGGGAGTTGATGAAGTTAATAAAGAAAATAAACAAAAATGTCAATTAATAGATATATTCACTATTGAATTATTCTCCATATGAGAAATAATTATTTTAAAATTTCAATATGCTCCACTTCTGCAATAGAAATTATTTCTAATATGCTTGCATTATTAAAGAAAATAAAAAAGAATATAATAAAGATAAATCTGTTAATATAAAAGAGAATCAAAGAAAAGAGAATAACAACAGTAGAAGATAAAGAATAGAAATAAATATAATTGAATAAATTATTTAAAATATTTATGATAAAAATATAAAATAATAAAAAATAAACATAATAATAATAAGAAGAAATGTATAAAGAATAGAATAATGAATATAAATATTAACATAATATTAAACAACAAATGGTTCTAACAATTATACAATAAATAAAATTGTATTTAATATTTATTTAATATTTTTATTAGTTATTATAAATATAACATTATTTCATTCATTATTTAGTTGTTTATTTTATTATTTTCATTTTTATTTATCTTTCATTATTTGCATTGTTCATTTCATTTAGTTATTCTTATTTCTTATTCTTCTTTATTCTTTTATTATCCTTTCTTTTCTAGAAGTATTTATTCTATGATATATTATTTCATTTTTTAAGTTTTTATTCAATCAATTGTTATTTAATTTATTCTTTTTATTCTTTTCTTTATCATATTCACTTTCATATTTTTATCATTGTCATATCACTTCTTATTATTTATTTCTTATTTATTTTCTTATTAATATTTATTATTTCATTCTTTCTTATTCTTTTTATTTCTTTTGGTATTTATTTTTCTTTATTTCATGGATTATTTCATCATCATTCTCATTTAGTTTGTATTATATGTTATTT